GAAGATCAAGGTAGTTTGGTGGCCCCAAATCAAGCTAACTACATTGAAAATCACTACCCTTTTATTGGGAATGAAAGGTTGCCTAGGACTTGGTGTTTCTAACAGTGTTATAAACAGGGTCATCCACGCTTGCTAGCTCCTCTCCTTGACCTATGAGATTAAAAGTTAATGTATGCTAAAAAGGGGCACTGATCTTTTGGGATTTCTGAATTAACAGCTCAAAGATCAACACTTCCACCTCTTCCAAAGCTTGCTGGTGGAATGGGAAAGGAATCATTATTAGTTCTTTTGTCAAATATTAATAGGCATTAAAATGTGTCACGCTGACAAAAATCATGTGGTGTGTAACATATGAACACACATAAATCCTGCTTCCTGTACAGAAACCCTTGAATTGCCACAGCCAGAAGAAACACCATGGATTGCGACAGAACAAACAAGTGCAACTCTACTATTATGTGTTACAATTTATTTTTTAATTTCTTTTTCCTGCCAGGCGAGTATTGTGTGTTAGAAATTAAAAGGTGTGCGCGCACACACACATACACGCACAATATTAGCCTGAAATTTCACATTTAACCAAAACTATGAAAAGCATGCAGTTTGTTTTATTATTATGGTTGTTGTTCTTGGATATCTAAAATTTTCAAAGTCATGGACAAGTAAGCCTTTAAGACAGTAATAAAAGGAAAGACCTGTGAAAAAGGAAATTTCTCGGCTTTGGGGTATCTTGAACAATGACAACATTCGATACTTTGTTTTGTTTTAAAATTTTAACTAGAAGCATATAAATGTTGGTTAGCTTTACTTTAACCTCAAGTATTTGCCTACTTGATGTTTTAAGACTTAGAGTGATAAGCTGTGAGCGTGGGGTAAGGTTCTGCCCACACAGAAATAGTAATGTAACATAATTGACCTCTTCTTTAAAATCAGCATGGTAAGAGCCCAAATCTTTGCCCTCTGAACTTTCAACTCTCAAACTTGACCACAGGTAAAAAGAGCCAGATTCTCAAGTTTACCCTTCTTTATAATCCAGGTAGAGTCCAGGTATGGACTCATTGGTGGGAGATAATGTCATGAGCTAGTATTTCCCCTTAGGAAGTCTACTGAGGAGAAACAAACACAGGACATTAGGATCTCACTCTATATTGTAAGTAAAGGCTGCAGGTCAAAGGTTACACTATCTGAGCTGCAAGTTTACAACAGTTTGTTCAACTCTATGGTTTTTTTTTATTTAATAAGTGATTTTTGATATCAACAATCAGAGTACAATTTGGTTCAGCTTCCAGGGGTATCTTTCTAAAGCGCTGACGTAATCATCTGACCCCTCTATTTGAAAACCACTGAGAACGCCCAGTTTTTAGGAGTGAATTCAGACCTTTTTCCATAGCTTTCAAGACCCTTGAAAAATGAGCTAAATCCAACTCTTTGGCATTATATCCTACCGCTTGCTAACATATAACCCAGAGTCTTCCACAACTATGTCATTTTAATGCCCACGGCTTGATTAATGTTGATCTCTTGAAAGCTGTCCCTCCTGTCTCTACTTTCTCTGCCTCGAGAACGTCTATTGATCTGTGAGAGCCCAATGCCAGCAGAATTAAATTACCTCTCCTCGGTGGTGCCATAACACTTTATTCATTTAATTGGGTATCACTTAGCACGTTGTATTATGGTTAGTTATACCCTGATAAAATAGGAGTGCCTTGAACAAAAAAGGACCTATCTTATTTATCTTCAGCCAACAGTAGATAATAAATGTTTACTGCATTGAACAGAGATTAACTAAATTTTAATAGCATGGATTCTGAGACTGGTCCTAAGTTCAACCCTTGTTCCTCTCCTAACAAGCTGTTTCTTAAGCTCTCTGCACTTCAGGCTTATGATTTAGAACATGAAAGCTTACCTCCCCCGGGGCAGGCAAGTCCAGAAACCAAGGCAAAGGCTGCAAGAAGTCGCACACCATTACTGTTTCAATATCCTATTGACCACCTAGGCTAGCGCTAGTCAGAGTTGCAGGGGACCACGCAAAGGAAGGAAGGGACACCAGGAGACAAGTATCACTGGGAGGCAATTTTGAGGCCAGCTGCCACACGCATCCGAAACCTGCCTACTGAGGAACTGGGGACCAAGCAGTGAACAAAACAGAGGTCCCTGCTCCTGTGAAGCACACGTGCTGGCGGAGGTCAGAAAGGCAATGGCTGTAATCAATAAGTAAATTATTTAATATAGTATGCTATGTAATATGTGGAGTGCTATGTGTTAAATAAAATGTATAGAGAGCCATAGGTTTGCACGGAGCTCCTACACTAGGCAAACCCAAATGGAGCTGCTCATGCTGACATTCCTGCCACCAAGTCAAAGCTAAGTATCTGATCTTCCAAGAAATAAGAAAAGAGAGAGAGAGATAACACCCAAATCCCCAAACAGGCCAGTTTTAGCCAGCATGTTAAGGAAGTCCCTCGGCTTTAACCTTTACAAGGAAAGCAACTTCAAAAGGACCCATCTGCTTTCTGTTCTCTGTTTCAAAAATGCTTTCATCAGCCCTGTTCTGTCTATAAAGCCCATCTCCTCTGCGCAGCTCACTGGAACACTTATTCTATTTTGCAGAATGAGGCGTTGCCTGATTCTAGAATTGAAAACAAAAGCCAGTTTAAGATCTTTAAATTAAACTTGTTGTAATTTTGTCTTTTGACTTATGAAAAGGGATAAAGAAAGCAGGGGAAAGGGGAAGGGGAAAAGCTGGAGGCTAGGACTGCTGTTTTTAACCGAGAGATCGAGGTAGGTCTCATTCAGATGCTTGAAGGAAGAGAGGACATAGGCCACGTGATTTTATAAAGGAACAGTGTTCCAGGCAATGGGAACAGCAACTGCAAAGGCCTCGTGGTGGGAGTGTGCCTGCCGTGTGTAAGAAACAGCGAGGCAGTCACGGTGGCTGTAGAAAAGATGTAGGAGATGAGATCAGGTATGTAACAGTGGGGGGTGGGGGTGGGGGTAGAGACCACGTAAGACCCTATATGCTCACTTAAGGACTCTGACCTTTACGCTGAGTGAAATTGGAAGCCACTGGATGATTCTTAGCAGACAACTAATAAAATCTGACTTAACGTTTTAAAAATGTCATTCTGGTGGCTGATATCAGAATAGACAGTCTGAAAGTGGAGAAAGGAAGCAAATTAGGAGGCTCTTGTAAAATTCAGACAGGAGGTAATGGTGGCTTCGAGTGTGATCAGTGTAGGTGGTGAGGCGTGGCCGGATTCTAGATTCATTTTGCATGATTAATTCACCATTCTCTGCAGAGTGTTTATTTAGGAGGAACAGCATTTCTTATTAGATTCCAGAGTTGTGGCTACCAAATGGTGTCCCAGGGAACCCTACCTGAGTTCTGAGAAACATTACAGGCATTTGCTACTAAGATCGATGAAGTAGGACAGGTGAGTGCAGCCTTGTGTCCCGTACCCCCAGTTTTATAAGGGCAGCTCTGTGTTGCCATACATACTTCATAATGCAGGGTGGGGTAAACCTCAAGAAAAAAAGACCAGAAGCCCTAGTACCCTAGAAGACAGACTACACACATGCTCACGCAAACACACTGTATGACAAAACACACCATCTATAAAATCGAAAGTTTCCCTGTACAAACTACAGGAAAAATATTCCCAACACAAATGAAGAATGTTTAATATCCCTCATATTAATATGTGGGGGAGTAACTGAGGCAGAACTGTGAGGAGATTAGCTGCTTTTTTTCACAGAGCCAGCTCCCTTGGATAGGGGTTGCCATGGAGGATAAGGAAATTGATAGGAAATAGAATAAAAGAATATACAGAGACTAAGGTATGGTTTATAGCTTTATATTTAAAAAATCAGATATAATAGTGGGGTTATTTAGGAGACTGGACATATCCCCGTGAACACCTAGCAATATGGTTAGATTTATAGAGGTTTTTATAATCGCAGACATCAATTTTTATCAGTTGTCAGGGTAACGTATTTGGATATCAGGGAATGCAGTTGCTAGGGGAAACAGGAATATATAGGTAGTGGGTTAGGGTCAAAAGTCCTCTCAAAAGGCTTCTAATCTATATAGGTGAACAAACAGGTACAAAGTCTTTTAGGGCTAACTTCTAAGTTCTAAGAGGTAGTTGTCAATTAACAAAGGTATAACAAAAGAGGTATAGTGACTCTATATTACTTTGATTAGTTACTGTGGACTTAAAGGTAGACAGGAGAGAGCAGGAAACCCATCTCTATAAAACAGGTTGTTTACAACTATTGGGCGGATCTCTGGGCAAAGTGTACTCATTGTCTCCGGCTCCCATCCTGTGGGCCATATTTGCCTCGCCTTGTCTTTCAAGACACAGGGAAGCTTACAGATTTTGAGATACCAGAAGCCTTTCTAGAAAACATCTCTAGTGCAGATTTGAGAGCTCTCCTATGATAGCAGCCTTTAAACAAGTGAACCATTGAGTTCACACACTCCTTCAGGGCAAAACCCTGCCAACTTTTGTTTTTGCCTTTAACATAACAACATAGGGTGATACAATAAAAATAATGGTCTTATTGGCCACATTTCATTAATTTCTCAATCATATTTCTCAACATTAATAAAACTCATAAATTCATAAGAAGACCATCCAGTAAAACATGGGCAAAAGGTGTTTCCAAAATGAGGCTCATGGTAATAGCACCTCCTCCACTGAGCTGTCGTAATAATGACATAACAATATATATGAAGCGCTCAACACAGTTCCTGGCACAGAATTAATGCTCAGAAAACACTGTCCGCTGCTGCTGCCACCACAACCACCACTGTTGACACCACACCATCGTTGCCACCTCTGCCACCACCCTTATGACTGTCACCGCCACCACCGGCCTGTTCGTCAGTGTGCAGGAGCCATTAGCAACGCACACCTGAGTCCACTCTGAAGGCCAAAGGCAAGGAAGTTTTCCCCAAAGTAAATTCTTCACTGCCAGTAACCGATCGTACGCATTACCTTTTCGTGGTTTTCTATCAGGATCTCGATGACGATGTTCTGAAATTTGATGTCCATGATGGCGGCCACCGTCTCCTCCTGAGGCCGCAGCAGAGTGGGTCCAAACACTACGCCAAGGTTTGCCACCGTCATCAAATTCTGCTTGTGGTTGTTAGCAACGCTGGGGGGGGGGGAAGAAAAGGCACGAGTGAGAGGAACAGTGTACGAAGAGACAGTCGACCTCCCTACCTCCTCGTTTGCAGCAGCCAGAACTTAGGACATCCTTGGATGCCATCAGTCCAAAGAGAGACTTTCCTACTTGTATTTTCAACGACTGAAGTTTGAGAAATCGTAAACACGCAGGCTATTTTGCTGTTTCGGGATGTGACACTCTTTACCATTTCCATCTTGCCTAAAACAACCCACCAACCCACCCAAGCCACTATCTGCCAAATGATGAACCTTTGCACATCTGAATCCCTGTGCGGAGAGTCCAGGTAACTGCTAATCCCTCTTAATTAGGACTTAGGTACTTGGCTGGTGCTTAAACCACTGCAAATAATAAAACCTCTTGATAGCTTTCATACATGTGCAAACAGAGGCACAAACTGGATCTGATTTTTAAAATGGGCAGATCTGGATATTTATTAATAAAACCAAGTCAGGAAATTCAGCACTTTAGACTCCAAGTATAAAAGGCCCATCAGATTAAACATGTGGCTCACGTTAAGTAAAACATGTGGCATAAACAGAAATAAAAATGCACCACTGTATATCCACGTAAATGGCTGTGTTTATATTGTCACTTATACTCAAAGTCTAACAAACACACAGGGTCCGCAGTAGCTGGGTCTCAGTCATTTGCTAAATATATATGCACATTTTTGGATTAACAACTACTCAAAACATATCGGAACTCCACGCCCAGGCCACCATGACCTACTATAAAACTCAGTTGTTCACTTGCTGGTCCCATGTGTAAAAATATAGCAATTATCTACTGGCAACAAATAAATTAAAAGTTAATGCCATTCAGTTTTGTTAAGAAAATATCAGAAGCTTCCCTACATCACCTGTTGGAAGAAGGAAGCTATTCATTACTAATTTGAAACTGGAGAGAAACTGGGTAGAAATCGACAGTTTGCACAGACCTACCTCCCTAGCATTTAGTGCTATTTATACTGAGTATTTTTTCACACAATTCTATAAATGCCTGCACTGTTTCTCTTGTATACCTCTTTTTTGTAGGAAGAAAAGAGATTACACTGCCTTAAGTGCTGTTTTTTAAACTGGGCCTTTATTGAAATATTAAATCAACCAATTTTATCAGCAGATGTGTGCTTTTCTATAATTCTTTTTAGGGCTAGGAGTTTAATTTAATTTAACCTCCTCCTCTGAAAGGGGCAGAGCATAGTGAGGTCTATGACACTTTAATTGTAGAAAGAGAATTTGTTTTGATTGCTAAGCAACACCTGCAAGCAAGGAAAGTGGCTACCGATATCCTGGCCTGTTTCTGGTCCACATTAGAATATTTTATAAACATTTTCCTAGTTCTCACTGAGTCTCCTGGTTTTGCTTAAAGTTTCCCCATTCTGTTCAGAATTATACCACGGTTCAAGTCTGAAAGAGTTAGTGCGGATGGTCACATTCTGACCTGGCGAGAGGCAGAGACTTGGGTTCTGTGCCTGGGTCAATCAGCAAGTGTGCATATTTACAAGCTGCTTTTAACATCACTACTTTCAACATCAGCTTCTGTGTCTGGGAAGGGAATTCTCTGTCCTTGTACTTCCCCTCCCAAACGAGCTAAGTCGGTAGACTTGCCGCTGGTGTCACAAAGGTCCCTTGTGCAAGTGAATCAACAAGCTATTTAGGTATAAAAACACTTTCAAACTGTAGACCCATATAAAAACATATGGTTTGGATGATGATCACTTTCGACCATCATGCTTCTCCACGCTGCATCTACCCAAGCAGTAGCCTCTAGCGCGGCTCCCTGACTCTAGAGCATGTAGGTGCAGCTGTATCCTGACTGCCACCACCAGTGACTGTCTACAGCCCAGCTCTGACCATGTTACTCCTCCGCTGAGAATGGCAACAGTCTCACGGCTCTCCTGGTGGCTGGGAGAGAACACAAGGCCATGGCATATGTGAAGTGTTGAGCGAGGCTTCTAGTGTTCAATTGCTCCGATATTCATGACTGCAAACCCTGGGTGGGCCCCCACTGTTTTTAACACAAAGTCCGAACACTTATAAAATAGCATACATTTTTCCAATCACCTCTGAGTCTTCCTCTGCCACCTCCCAGCTCTGAGTCTCTGGGCAAGCGACTCACTATGTCTAAGCTTTGGGTGTTCCTCATTTAAAAACAAAAAGCGGGGGGTGGGGAAGGTAGGGATGAATAATATACCTACGTCATGAGGTTGTGGTGCAGATTAAGTGTGATAATGCATGGGAAGTGTAGTAATTGTCATAATAATTCATTCTCTATCCCCAATCCACTTTCACACCTCTTTGCTTTTTTTCATGTCATTCCTCTGCCTGGAATGTTCTTATGCTTCCTTCTGTGTTTGGCAAGCTGTTGATCTGCAAGGCTCGGCTCAATGGCCCGCCCTTCCTTTCTGACTCTTCCTCTCTCTTTCCCCAGACCCCCACTCCCTACGAAGACAGAAGTGTCAGGCTGCTCCTGCATTTGTGTCACACTGCCAGGGCCCGAGGAGAGGAACTGGGCTATTTAACTTAGTCACATTTATTTAACTTGAGCACAGTACTGGGCACAGGAGAAGCACCAGGAGCACTCACTGAGGTGTTAGAAGATAAGGGGAGTTTCTGAGTAGACACGAAACAATTATTCCCAACTCATAAAACTTCAGATAATCATCGACGATTTGGGGGGAATGTATCTCAACTATCCCAACCTCCCTTTTCAGAGTCTCGAGCTGTGTTCCATTTCTTAGATTTAATTAATGAGTAATAATTACTTTGATATGCAGGCCCCAATGCCCAAAGGCATTTGGAGAAAAGGTACAGTAATTCTGGATCAGCAACTCTGAATATAAATAGGCTTGAGGCTACCCAGCCATAACTCATTTCCCTTTTAATGATCTATTTTATTTTAGAACTTAAAAAAAAACAAAACACATTGATCTAAGTCTTAGGAAACTTTTTGGGGGAGAAAAGCTACACCTTTCATTACTAACTACCATTACCTTTTGGCACACTGAATAAATTGATCTGTCACTTGATTATTACTGCTCACAACTTGGTACAGCCCTGTTCATTACGCCAGGATGAATTATTAATGGCTCGAGCTCTCCATGTATCCCAGAGGGAAAGGCCAAGACCTCAGCCTCTGCTGGCACCAGACATCCATTACGGCCTGACGAATTTACAGATGTGGGAAAAGCAGGCTGGCAGGGTGCTGGGACTCGTTCATTAGCGAAGTCCATAAAACACCGAGAACCTGCTTTCTGTTTTGGTAGCCGGGCTGCCCGAGCTCCTCCTCAACACTGTTCAGAATGCCATGTTGAGTCTTGACTTGAAATCCACACACAGAAGCTTCTTGTGCATTGCACACTGCCATGAAGGAGTCTTTGATACATGCCTTTCAGACTGCTACGTCTGCTCTGGTGCCTTCCGAGAGAGCTGCCAATTCTCCAGGCTCTCTTGGAGGTTGCAGGGGAACAGTTCCCACGTGTGATGTTCACTTGGGAGACGCCCAGCTCCTCCTGTGACCATCAGAGTCTGCTGCATCAGCTGAGAAGCAGTGCATCTCCGGCGGGACGGGACAGCTTCAGGGCAGCTCTTGGGGATGGGCGGGGGGATCTGTACCCCATATTCCAGGCAGTTCCCTCATGAATTGCAGTTAATGAGGGAAGACCATGTTCCAGTGAAAATGGCCTTGGCAGAGGGGAAAGAGACGGGTTCTCTGGATTGGTCTGATACCCTTTGAGAAGTGGAATGAGGTGACTTCCAGTGAGAATGGTGGTGGGGTGTTATGAGGGAAGGGGACAGTAGCCCGCCCTTTGGGGGCCTGTGATGCAGAGACCCCCATGCTGTCAAAGGGCTCGCATCTGTTCTCCTAGAGGTTAAATGGGAGCCAGAGCTCTGTAAGCACTAAGCAATGCTTTTGTAATAACAGATGGGCCCTAAAGTACTCCAACCATACATGAGCCTGTTGCAGGGCTTACAAACAGGCTTCATCAGGAGGCCTGGAGCGCCGTGCGGCGGATGTCCAAGCTGATCGCTGGCTCAACTGGACACAAGGTAGTGACAGATCGGCAAGTGTCTGCCACCGACTGGACAGGTGGAACAACAGCGTATCTCCGCTTCTCTGCCATCCTTTATTTGCTTGCTTCAGCTTCCAAAATGTTAAATAAGAGTAAGAACTTGTGCTTGCAGGGTGTTTTAGACTTAACAAACTACAACAATTTTTTACATTTAGTTGACCATTATATTAATGTTACAGCAGTAGCTCTCAGACTTTCTGACAACGACTCAAGATAGGAAGTATATTTTCGTACACAGACACACGCACACAACACACCAGAAATGAAAGTTTCAGGAACAGTAAGTATGATACATTCTGATATTTTCTATTCTATTATTTTTTATCCATTAAACATTGATTTCACAAACCACTCATGTGCCATGAACTACAAGTTGAAAAACACTGTTTTGGAGGTATAGACTGCAAATACACTCACTACTCTATAAATATTGAAGATAAGGCTGAGGAGGTCAGTAGCACAGTAGTTGAGTCAGACGGACATCACCGGCTCCATGACAGCGAGGAAGTCAGTGGCCTCTCCCACCCTGTTTCCTCACATGTAAAACGGGAGCAATGACACCTAGCCCATGAAGTTGGAAGGCTGATCAAGTATGATAATGTAAGTAAATCTCCTGGCATGAAATAATGGCTTAATAAATGACAGCTGCTACTGTCATGGTGGCAGTCACGGCAATAGTGATGGTAGTGGTATCGACAAGTTAAAGCCACACTGTTAGTTGGTGGTTTCACTTGGTGTCACATCCAGGAACCTCTAGTTGGCCTGCTTCTGAGCAAGACATCCCATCTTCTCCACCTATATTCAAGGACTATGCTACCCTACCTATCTGTATTTTTCTTTTCATTCTTAAAAAAATTATGAAATTCTTGAAATCGATAGAAGAGTTCAAAGCATT